CACACTGTAGGATTCTGTAGCCCCTTTATTCGTTTTCTGGGCATTAGGGTTGTGATTTAATCATTTTGAGTAGTTGATGAGTTGTCTGAAGGAATTATCAATGTCAAGCAAGCATTGGAAATATTCAGAATCTACCTCTAATCTTCAGAATATTCAGAATCTCTACCTCTCTCGTTGTTGAATAAGTAGTTCACCGTCCTGTGCCATCTCTCCTCCCTCATAGTCCAAGCCTAGTATCAATCGGTGTCTGGAAAACTAAAGATTGTGTTGTTTTAGGCTGTGTGTTGTGATAAAGTAGAATTATTCTACCACGTGTTGACCTTTGAATGTTTAAATATGATCAGTGGCATTTAAGTCTATTTTTGTGTTTTCTTCTGCTTTTTTAGATTCTTTACATCGTGTTATGGGCCGCGGTGGTGGGGGCTCTGGTAAGGCTGAACTCCAGAGGGCACGGTTACGTCTCTCACTGCAAGAACACCTCTGGGCCTTCTTTCATGAGCGAGTAGCAATCCCCTCAGAAGAGCAGGCCGTAGCTCGTCGTGCCGCGTTGGATATTTGTGCGGAGCTTCGATTCTTCCTCCACGCCAAACTACCTGATATGCCCCTACGAGAAATGTACCTAAGCGGCAGTCTGTATGACGACCTCCAGGTGAGAACAAAGGGCAACCATTCAGAGAGTGTTATAAGGGGCTTTCGCACCAGAGGAACCTTTTCATAGTTCCTAGAACTAATGGCAGAAGTACCCCTTTTTGGCAAGTTCACACTGCAGGAACTGGGAACAATTTGAGTTTATTCTAGGAATGCCTTTTGGGGGAATTAAATTAGCTCTTACTTCAGAATAGGGTCTAACCCAGTACAATAGGAACTACCAGTGACGTAAGTGTACGCTGATTGGCCGAATGTACGTGAGAAACCGGCACCCACCATTTAAAAAAAAGCTGTGTACACAGACAGATTATAGCCTATATATTTACTCCAAATACTAACTCTACGAACACGGAAAACCTTTACACTAAGGAGAAAATCCAACGCAACTTTGAGGGGACCAAGCGAAACATGATTATGTATTTCTGCTCAGCTAGCGACATTGAGCATCACAACCACACGCCAAACGCTAATATGACTGTTAAACAGATTGTAAACTAATGAAGACGGAGAATGCTGAGCGGAGTCAAAATAAAAATCACAACAACAAGCGTGGCTTACGTCACTTCAGAGTTCCTACTGGTGGTGCGAATGCAACCCGGAAAAGGGCCCTACATTTAGATCTTGAGGAACCGCCCTGGTGGCTAGTTCCTATAACTAAGTTCCTATAACTACCCGGTGCAAAAGAGCCTATAATTCTGTCCCATAATGATAAGCAAGAATATAGGGAAAACATGGCCTTCAATATACACTACCATTCAAAAGTTTGGGGTTGGTAAGGCTTTTTTAATGTTTTGAAAGAGCTGTCTTATAGCCCCTTCAAGGCTGCATTTATTTAAACAAAAATACTGTACAAGTTAAATATTATTATAATTCAAAATAGCTGTTTTCTATTTGAATATACTTTAAAATGTATTTTATTCCTGTGATGCAAAGCTGAATTTTTAGCATTATTACTTCAGTCTTCGGTGTCACATGATCCTTCAGAAATTATTTGAATATAATGATTGCTCAAGATGCTTAAGAAACATTTATTATTATCAATGTTTTGCATATTTTTTCGTTCAATTATTAGGTGGTGACTGCTGATCACGCCCAGCTGATGGTACCCATGATCCTTGAGAAGAATCTCTGGTCATCCATTCCTGGTGAGGACACCATCATGAACGTTCCTGGCTTCTGGCTGGTTCGTCGGGAAAACCTTGAGTACTTCCCGCGTGGAAGCAGTTACTGGGACCGTTGTATTGTGGGTGGTTACCTTTCCCCAAAGAGCGTCCTCGAAGTTTTCGAGAAGCTCGTCGCTGGATCCATCAACTGGCCCGCCATCGGTAGCGTTTTAGATTACGTCATTCGACCCGTGGTCCCATCGGAAACGCTTACGCTAGAGGTGCAATACGAAACGGACCGTCGCCTTTACGTGGACTTCCTCCCGTTGCTTGTTATGGAGGACGGTGTCTCACTGATCGCCAAACCACATCGTTTGGCTGCCGAACGGCACGAGAACCTGTGGAGGCAAAGTTTTCGTGTGGCGGAAACAACAAAGTTACGTGCCCTTGATCAGGAAGATGGCGGGTGCCGTTGCGCATGTCTTAAAGTTGTTAAAGCCGTGTGTAAACTGAATCCAGCGCTAGCACGATTAAACGCAAGCCAGCTCACTAACGCAATCCTTCTCCTGAGCGAACAGGAGGGCGATTGGACTCAAGAAGCGCTCGCCGACCGTTTCATGCAGCTGCTTCGTGCACTAGTGGGACACCTAGAGGCTGGGAGGCTACCCTGCATCCTAAATCTCAAAGTCAATCTGTTCTGTGAGGTAACGCCACAGGAAATAGACGAACTGGGATACACGCTCTACTGCGCGTTGTCCGACCCAGAGAGCCTTTTGAGAACTGTTTAACAACTCCTGCACACACACTACCACTGTTTAGTCGTGGAGTTGATACACAAACCAAAATAATGGCAATGTTTTCATATTATGTGTCCTGTTAGTATTAGTAACCTCAATTGTTTTTTTAATTATACCATCATCATTTATTTTCAGGTACAAGAAACTCATCTGTTAGTCATATTTTATATGGCCTATCATAAATCATTTAGGTGTTTTTGTCTTTCCTGATGCACAGTGAATTGGTGTGAAGATTATATCGTCTATATGTGATATTCTTATAAATTCAGGCACAGTCATCTCATATGTGTCCGTTATTGCACCAAATGCATTGAGATTTCATGGAGGTAATTTGGCATGTTACAGTGATACATACATGGTTTTATGTTCCCCAGTTTTTTTTTATGTGGAACATGGTTCAGTATTTCCTTGATTTGTTCATAAACACTTACAACAAAAGACGATTTCTGTCCATTATTCAAAATTAATTGCAAAGAAAACCAATATTTTTCTTGTTAGTTTGTGCCAATAAAATATGCAGATTACCTGCATGACAAGCAGTGCTACTGGAGAAATGTTATGTAAGGATTTTTATTTGTTGGTGATGTAGCATTCATTGCTTTTCTTCATACTCTTTCAAAGGTCGCTCATAGAAATATGATGCTATAGAAATGGTTGAAACGGGTTATTACACACTGCTGAAACCAGAAGAAGCTAAACACCTGAATTGAAAATCAAAAGAGATGTTTAAACTCCTTTAGAATGGCTAAACAAAGAGCAGATGTATTGAAGCTGCCCATACAGACCTCCTTAAATCTGTAGAATCATTTAAAAGGTTTAGGAAAACAGAAATAGAAGGATGTTTCCCCTCTTGTCTATATTGAATGAGGATGTATGGGTTAAAAGGAATGTTTGAATGAACCGAAGGACATTGTGTGCAAAAGATATACAAGAGCATAATAAAACAGACTTCATAGAGACATTTTCGTATTTTTGTACTGACTGTACAGATGTAACCAAAACTATTTATGTATATCTTATGATCATACTTGGTGCTTGGAGAGTCGTCTGATAGAACAAAATATAAAATAGGCTATGTCTCTGCTATGAAATGCCAAAACTCAAAAGATCATGTGTATTGAAGCATTTATTTTGCTTGAATAAACACCGGAACACCTGTGTCAACCTGTGTGATGTAGGCACTTACCGATCGAACGATATGAAAGGAGCACCGAACCCAAAGTAGATCTCCTAGTGGAGTTCAGCTTGGCCTAGTACTTTGCATGTGATTATTATTTTTATTAAACAGCACTTTGTATCATTTGTTCTGTAAGAGTGAGTTGTGCCTCTGGTCTCTGTACTGCGATAGAGAGCAAAGGATAACAAGAAAATTAAATAAAACGGAGTGAAACTGTATTACAGTGTTATTGTGAATTATTTGTGTCTCAGTACAGTTATGACTCTATAATAGCTGACATACAACATTGTGCAAAAGTTTGGGGTCTGTAAGATGTTTTTTGGAAAGAAATTAATACTTTAATACTGTAAGGATGCATTAAATTGTTCAAAAGTAACAGACATTTATAATATAATAGACGATTTCTACAAATATTAAGCAGCAAATCATATTCGAATGATTTCTGAAGGATCATGTGACACTGAAGACTGGAGTAATGCTGAAAATACAGCTTTGACATCACAGGAATAAATGATATTTTACAATATTTCTGATTTAACTGCATTTTTTATTTAAAAAATAAGCAAAAGAGAGTTATTTCAAAAACATTTAAAAATCTACTGACCCCAATTTAACAGTAGTGTATTTGCATTGTTCAAATACAGTTTTCATGACTTCGAAATTAGATCTGTTGAAGGGAAATTAAATTAACTTCAGTGGTATGACAGAAGTTCAGCCAAAGGTAGATATTAGAATCAACATTTGTTGCAGTTCTGTTCATGTTAGATGTATTTGAAATGGTGGCACATCTGACTGTCAAATGTTATGTCATATAAATCATGTGATGGACATTTTGCAACATCTCAGGAAACTGAAAATGACTGATATCATAAACTGTTTGAGGGTATAATAATCACAGTATGCAGAACCCATGTCTCTTTCTGTAGGGTTTGAGATGCAGTCAATGAAATCATAGAAATTCCTGCTTACAAATTGGACTATATATACACAGTATATAAAGCTATTTGAGGAACTTCTAGAAATAAAGATCTGGAAAACACCCCTGCTTGTACTGGTTGTCCCCACATTGGATTCAACAAATCACTAAATACTAAAACCCCCATCAGTCTAGTAGTTTAGTTCATTTTCAGACAACTCATTTATGGGAATGGCCTCTTTATGACATTTCCCTGTGTATTTACGAGACATTAACTTTCTAAAAGTTTTCAAAGTAAATATAACTGTTGACAGCCATTGAAATACAATGCTGGAGCTGAACCCAAACCAAACACGTAGTAACTACAAACAAAACTTTATTTAACTCCAGGTTTGAAAGAACTTTTGCTACAATTTCTAGTTCAATGATTAGACAGTGATTAAGAAACCAAGCAGTCTTGGTCAGCTTTAACAGAAAGTTCACTTCAGTTTGGTAAACCGAGTAAAATACACCAGTGTTGTTAACATTATCAAAATGATACACACACATACAGAAGTCAACTGACAAAAGAAAACTCAAATACAAAAGTTACAAACCTAGAAATCTACCAGCCATGTAATCAGTCTTTATTAAATGTACCATTAATAGCTAAAGTATAAAATAAAAATGCATAGTTTGACTCAATCTATTGAAACTTAGTGCAAAATAAAAACACAAGGCAGCGTTCGAGGGCAAGTGCAGAGAAACCCTAGCTAAACAAGTTTTAATCTTGAAAATTTAACCTGTCACTTCAGGCATTTGTTGATTTGCTCATGTCAATTTCGCATATTTCAACTTGCAAAAAATTGACCAACTTCAAACAAAACAGTGGTTTCTGTATAGCTAATGGTCCATTAGATCCAGTACAATAGCATAATGACATTCACTCTCTGTTCACTTGGCAGGAGCAAAGCCAACGCGGTCCGCTTCCCTGTCAAACACAGTGTAGTAGCGGCCGATGAACACATCTCCCAGAATCCACAGCGGCCCGGCGGGAGGCGGGATATCCATAGCCATAAAGCCAGACAGACAAACACTCACACCCATATGAGTCACCTGAGGAGAGATAGAAATGAGGTAAATTGAATTCAATAGAGCGCAACAGTCGGGTTCTAGAAGTAAAAACTCAAAACAAAAACAAATTTCTTCATTGTTTTTAATTCGATTATACTGTTCGCAATGCTTCGTGGGATTGTAGTTCTTTTCCTCAATAAAACCGTTAAGTACACTTAGTCTTGCGCCTTTGTCTTTTTGTCTGAATCAAAACTTTTTTGCTTCAAATCAAACATTGCACTGTTGTGATTCACCTCATAGCGGTTTGGCTTGGTTCTTAGGCTTATAACTCTTTAATGAAGACTATAAAAAGTCTTAAAAAAAATCCCTATTGGAAAATGAATGGAAAAGATACTTCCGGAACCAGCTGAAATACTTGCGCTGAAAAAGAGGGCGGGCACTAATGCACTATATTATTTACTTAAAGTGTAACTTTGCCGTTTTTCAACCCGCTTTGTATTTGTTACAAAGGTCGGTAGTACATGTAAATTAACTTTGTACTCATTCTCCGTGTTGCGAAGAAACCCAGAAATTCACGTTTATTTGTCAGCAAAAGTCTGCATGTTGAGGACTTTTGACAGCTCCAGGGATTTCATAAAAACTACAGATTGTACTTCAGCATTTTTGTATCCCCACCCACAGACAGCTGGATCGAGACAGGGATTATTAACATAAACAGGTATTATAAGGGTAGGTTTATCACTGAAAGTTGTATCATACTTTGTCTCCTCTTTGAACAGCATTATGGTAAAAATACTATGACAACAGCTTTCTTACCTGTACGTACTGGAAACCTAAAGTAACTCACTCCTGCTAAACGTTTACTCTTTGAATTCTTCCCGGAACCAATACAAGTTGACACCATTATGAATAAAAGTTTGCTAAGAAGTATTTCCTACTAAAGCAAGGCCGTATTTGATTTAGTCAAGCGTATCCATAGCAGACTTGTGGGCGTGGCCGTGGACAGCAACATGCCCAGTGGATTATGGGTGTTGAAGTTTTCCCAAAATTTGGCAAAAGTGAAGACAACAGCCTTTTTTCTCTGTGTGGACATCTTTTTTTTTATACCATAAGAGATTTAATAAATAAAGAGGACAAGAAGAAAAAGAAGAAAAACGATCCTGTGTCTGGTATCCAATAAATAATGGGTTTTGACTGTTAAAACATCCCAATGTCCAACGAATTCACAAACCGTTGGGGACAGTGTCAAGTGGGCTAATATTAATATAATGCAAACAATTTAGTTTATGCAAATGAAATTCCTAGAGATAGATTTACGTTCTAATGAATAAAGACATTAAATATATTCATATTGAATGCTTTACAAATAATAATAATAATAATAAGTTGATAACAAAAGATAGCCTATTAATTAGCCAGCATTACTCTTTGCATGAAAAATAGCGCTATGCCGCTCCGTTATCCAGAGAGCACTCAATCTCTATCTAGGCAGACTTTTCTCTTCTAACTATTTTTAAATTGAGTGTATAGCCTACAATTAAACTTATAATCTCCGATGTTGTTTTGAGTGTTTTAGATGGTGTGAAAAAGCAACTATAATGAATAAACATTTATTTGACTTGACCGAGGCGTTATTAGATTATGTTTGGACTGCTTTAAGAGATCTTTAAAGACCCATCTTTTTAAAAATGTTTATTGTCTTTGAAGTGTATTATGTCTGGTATATCTGGATTTTTCTGTTTTTAATTATTGTTTAATTATCTTACATTTGTTTACCATACTGTGTAGCGCTTTGGGTTGGAGAAAAGCGCATTATAAATAAAATGCATCATCATCATTAGTCATGTGAACCCGTCTTTTCTTTCATTTTAATGTCATGTTTATTGTTTTAAATGTTTATATATTAGAATGATATAAAAATCTATATAAAAAAAAAAAAAAATTGAATGACATATCAATGGGAAATTACATGACAGATAAAAACAACTAAATCCGTCAGAGTGATGGATATCCTAATAACTATAGTGCAACTTTTGCATATCTATCATGTTACAGTGCTTTATGTAAACTTATAATAATGGATTACAATAATACTATAATGGATAATAATAGCACTTATGTAGGCAGTGTCATTGGAGATAAAATACAAAATGCCTATATCCAGTATTTTAAAGCTGCCAGTAGGGAGAAAAACATGGGCCATAATGTAAAAGCTTTAAAGTTTAAATTCATCCTCGATCTATAGACATTATGGCATATGTCATACAGATTTTATAAAATAATTTGTGGATAATGTTATGGGTAATCTCGCCCATGCGCTTTTAAACTTTCATGACGTAATCGAAACCTACTACAGCTTATGCGTGTTAAAATGTCAACTACGTATTTGACATCAATTACGTCATCGCGCTACGGGCTGCAGCGGGGACTTTTTGGTTTTCTCAAGTACGGTAGCACAGATTTCAATTTTTTTTTTGCTTTTCTACTGTATAGGTTGCAAAGTTTTATTGAAAGCCCATTTTGCCAGCAGCGAAGTAGCTCTTTAATATTGCATTCAGTTCAGAAGTAGTCTTATTCTGTCTCCTTAGATTTGACTAGATTCCAAACATAAAACCAACGGAAAATGTGAATGATTATCACAAATTGAGATTCTGTGACAGATTTTGAGGTTCTAGATTTGAACATGGTACAGAGTTACCCTACAATGTCCCTTTCCAACCTCTGCAGACAAAAAGGAAAACCCCAGCAGTTTCTGTACCTTCAGAACATAGTCCTCTCCAGTTAAGTTGAGCATCTTCCCTCCCAGGCTGAAGGAAACAACAGGAAGTGATGGAATCTTCTTACAGTCAATCCAGTACTACAGAGGAAACACGTGGAAATATTTACATTACGACTTCCTCACTTTATGACTTTATAACTCAGCATTCTAAGTCCGACCTAATAGTTACGACCGTTGCACCATCCAGGCTTAAGTCCTCTTCTCGCTAAGACTGGGTGTAAATCTTACGCCTAGTCAGTAGCAGGCGTAAAGTCAAAATCTAGGCATATACAGAGCTGCCAACTCTCACGAATTGGCCGTGAGACACACGCGTATTTGATTGGTTTCACACGCCACACCCCCTATTTCTCACGCTGAAGTGTCATCCCGGTCGGTCAAATGCCTGGAAGATGAGTTTATCTATAGATCTACCTGTTGAGCCACTCGTGATCGACTAGTTATACCGCAAATTAGTTTAAATCTCCCGGAATCTAGAGCGAGCGAGCATGCGAGACAGAGACGCTCCAAACCGCGTAGCGCGCGCACGGCAGAGAGGGAAATGTTATGTTCTTATGTTAATGTTTTTATGCAAATAGTGCGTTTCAAAACAATGTTGGAGACATGATTAATGTCCACAAATCCACCGCATCTCAGGCCATTGGCAGTCAGTGTGTGCCTGTGCTGACTGTACAGCTCTATTAACTTAAATATCTCGATGTCGTGTAATTTCCTTTGCTTTTTCTTTGATCCTCCATTGATACGGCTACAAGTTAACAAAACTGCAGAAGATAGTTTACAGCGTAACCCAGCAACACACGCTGCTAGGCAACCGCTAATAGTTCCGTGGCCGTTCACTTGAACGCGCAACGCTAAGACCAGGCGTAGTAAAGCCTACGCTTAAGTCAAGTTAACCGACGTTAGGTCAACTCTAAAGACTGGTCTTAACTAAGACCTACTTAGCAGTTAGGACCAGGCTTAGTAAAGCCCTGTTGGTGCAACCGGCTCCTGGTTACTAACTTTCTTTAAAATAACTTCCTTTGTGTTCAGCAGACCAGAGAAATGTATACAGGTTTGGAACAACTTGAGGGTGAGTAAATGGTTTTTAGGTGAACTACCCCTTTTATTTTGTTAAAATTTTCAAGAGTTCTTTTTACACTTACATCTCAAGTAAATGTATCTCGATTCAAAGACTGAATTCAATTTAAGATTTCAGCTCTGATTTAAGCCCTTTATTAGCAAATTAATTAAAACCAGCAGAAACCCTGTATATATATTTTGATATTTTATCTGGAGTTCTCCTCACCTCTCCCATAAGCAGTGGTATGGCTCCGATAGCTTTCTGCAGGGCCCGCACCTCTTGAACCGGCCCTGTGATCATTGATGTTCCCGTGTCAACAATTGCCTGGCATCCACTTTTGCAGAGGGTAAGAGTGCCACCTACCTGAACCCTGTAGGAAAATGACCAATATATGCAACGAGTTATTATTACAAATAGTAATTTTGTCTCAGTTTCCAACAATCATAGAGACTGAACCCCAAAAGATTGTTGATAATCAATCAAGTGTCTGTCTAAAACGAGGGCTAATCCTTGAGCAGAATCGTTGAAAAGCCACAGTCTTGGCTTTTGAAACAGTAATGGTGATCACGTACTCATCCATCTTTATCTGCCAGTAGGCTTTTCGCGTAACATTGACGTAATGCAGATCACCGTCGAAATACTGGTTGTCAAAACCTCCCAGCATCAGCTCACCTCCAACCTCACCTGCAGGGTCCCTGCACACAACATTTATTAATAAAATTTAGCATGTTCATTTAGCCAACTTTTAGGTTATTCACACCTTATAAAAGACATTTAGTCGCCAAAATGTAGGCAAAACCTGACGGCGCACATACACACGTTTGTCACAAATCATTCAGTTAGAAAAAAAAAAGAGGCTTTTTATACAGACAGAACAATCAACTATTGTGTGATAAATTGGCCATAACATGCACGTGCGTTTTGGAAAGCAAGGAGGGGGTGGCACTGCTATGCAAGCAGTAATGAGTCATGCGTTACCGTTTAACTCAAGAATAAATACAATTCTTTCATACTTAAGGTCAAACTATCAGTCTACATCTGTAGCCACATTCTTCAACATTATAACACTGAAATGGAGAAGAAAATAGAGGAACCTCAGATAAGGGAAACAAGGTCATTTCCCAGTTCCTTCTCAAACTCTCCCATGTCAATATTAAATGTCCACCAATTGGCTAAAAGAATCTAAAAAAAAAAAAAAAAAACCTAACTGAAAAAAGTCAAATGAAACTTGAAGTGGAGTAACAGGAGCCAAAAGCAAAAGCAAGCCTTACCGGTTGATATAAAAAGAGAAGATATTCTGGGGCAGGATTTTGGCAGCCATGGCCGTGTCAAACACCGGCGTAATCCCATCTACAGAAATGGCGGGGTATGCCATGCCCAGGACGCCATCAAAACGTGCCACCACGAACACAATCCCAGGCTGTTTAACCGCCTCGGCAAACTGCTGGCCTGGCACCTTCAGCCCTGCCAACTACAGACAGAAGCGAATGTTTAACTATTAAAAATTGATTCCGTTATTTGGAATAAAGCTGAAATGAAAACAAATTCTACACTGGTGGTCAAAAAAAGTTTTAAAATGTAATTTATTCTTGTGATGCAAAAGTTGAATTTTTCAGCATCATTACGCCAGTCTTCAGTGTCACATTATCCTTCTGAAATCATTCTAATATGATGATCAAGAAACATTCATTATTATCAATGTTGAAAATATTGAGCCAATAAGGAGCTGTATGTAAGAAATTTATTTCAATTAATCATAAAATGGCCCTGATATGTCACTAGACATTAAGAAATCATGTTCATTTCAAATACTTATATCACTGACAACAGTAGTCCGGCCAGGATATTGTCCTTTAAAAAGTGAAGTTGCAGCCCTCAACTGATGTTGATGTTGTCATGTTGTGTTTTGGTCTGATGCTCCACCCTCCACCTATCTACCAATCACGAAGTCAGTAGTGTTGCGGCATCCGGGTTGCCAGCTCTGCTCTAGTTACCACAGCTGCAGCTCGTCACGTTCCTGCTGGATCCTGCAGCCGATCTGGCAACCTCGAGTCAGGGAGGAGGGGGAGGGGATACACCGCTCTACAGTAATTTGAAAGTGATTGCAGTACCAGTTTTGGCCACAATCTTACAAACAGCTCCTTTAAGCACCAAAAAATTACAAAATCATCATATTAGAATGATTTTTGAAGGATCATGAGACACTGAAGTAAATTACATTTTAAAATGTATTAAAATAGAAAATACACAATATAACTGTTTTACTGTATTTTTGATCAAATACATTCAGACTTGGTGAGCAAAAGAGACTTCTTCTTAAAAAAAAAAACAAAAAAAACATTTTAGATGAAATTTTTTTTTTAAACTTGAATGAAAAATATTGCTTTGGCAACTAACTGAAATAAAAGAGGTTGAAGTGCTAAAATTGCTAAAACTAAAAATGAAATCAAATGAAATCAAATATAAATGACAAAAGCATTCAAATGAAAACTGAAAATATAAAAAATAAAGCCAAGTTAATAAATATAACATTATATAACCAATACTAAAATAAGACTGGCATCAGCAACAAATGTTATTGCTTCGATTCTAAACAAGTTCAAAAGAACTTACATTTCGAACACAAAGCTATCAGATTTCTTTGAAGACCTGTAATATAGTATGGTATAGTGGGTCAGTTTTATGACGCTTTTACAGCTGTCATGACAGGTTACTGAAGTCTTTACTCACAGTGACTGTATCCTGACTGATGAAGCCAGAGAGACTCCCTCTGCCGTACTGGATCGCGAACTCTGTGCCATTCTGAACGTACGTGCTTGACTTCTTAGAGTTGTAGCGATGGTGCACCCCTGATAGACAGCAAGAGTAAAAGCACAAGTTACTAAAGAAAACAAAAATCAAATACAGATCAATACAATCATTCAAAACATCACTCACAGCATGCTATGTCCAGGTAGGAGCAATGGATAGATGGAACCCAGAGGTTGGATGATCCAGTGTCAAACAGCACAGTGAAGTCCTGAGGAGGGGTACCAATGCTGACCACTCCAAAATACTGGGCCTGAAGTTGGAGAAAGACAACCAGACTAATTATATTCTTTATGCAAGAACCAAAAGCATAAAACAAGGGATTGAATAAAAAAGTTCTCTTACATCCATGAAGTTGGTGAGTTTCTCTACAGGTGGTGGTAGTTGTGTTGTTTGCGGTGCTGTTGTGGTTCTATTGGGGTTTGTAAATTTGACTTCGGAGGTTTTCTCTCTGGCCATGGACTTGATCTCCTCAATAGTCTTCCCATTGTCTGCCAACATGCGGCGCACAGTGCGTGTCTTGTGCAGAGGAATTCTAGAGATACAGCAGTGATAAAGCAATAAAGCACCTGAGTGTGTGCACCTGCTTCAAGTAGTTTATTGTATCTATAAAACGGTCACAATATGATTTTCCAAAGAGAGTGTTTCTAGCGCTTGTACGTGCCATCATTACAAAGGCAATGCTATGTTTTTGCTATGGTGTCGTCGTAGCGATTATTCCAACTACGTTCTCTGTAGGTTCTTCTTTTTGCAACCTAATGAAAACCTTCCCAGAAGGTTAGGGTAGAGTGGGGGAAAATGCCCCCCTGGGGTAAAACGCCCCCCACCCGTTTTTCCCAAAATAACCACTCGAATGAATCAAGATACATTTTTACTATTGCTATGCACTACGTTGACAACGGGGATATACAAATCTCCATGGAGAAGCTGACACCAGCGACGTATTTGAAGAGAAGAGGATTACATGGAAAGTGCTATAACTTTCAGATATTAATAAACAAGTTTTTAATAGAATATTGTTCACAGTGATATCACATTGATGTATGATAGATGAATAGTGATGTCTGTAGTTTGAGAGCATATGTTATTTATAAGGAATATAATTATATATTTTTTAAAATAAACAATTTTTTAAAAAGACATAGCTTGTGGGGTAAAACGCCCCCTATGCTGAGGGGTAAAACGCCCCCCCAAGGGGCATAGTTTCTCTTTATCATAATTACTACAGTAACATATTTCTGTTCATCAAAGTCTTTATTTTACACTTTAATGCAGTATAACTAGGTGTTAAAATCAAAATATTTGAACAAAACATGAAAAAATTACCTCAAGTGAGCATTAGCTAGCTTGGTGAATGCAATGATGGAAGGTGGTTAGGTGACCCAATGATAAAACACAGTGACCTTTAATGCATTTATGGAATATATTTCACTATAAATATACTAATTTATGTTTAATATTTATTTAGGGTTTTCTGTTTTTCTTGATGATAGTGGTGAACAAATACTACATCAATTATCAACCCCATATAGGCCTAGTGTAGAAATCAAAATATTAAAATGTTAGAAATTTGGCTATTTTGTACATTGCTGAAATAAATATTAATAGGTATATATATATACACATGTTGTTGCATTACTTGCCTTTTACTTTTAGAGATTAAAAACTATGTTCATTTTGCTGTTGATCTATGAAGCAAACTGGTTGGTAAGAAAGGGGGCATTTTACCCCACCTTGGGGGGCGTTTTACCCCACCGCTGGGGCAAAACGCCCCCTTTGTACAAAAATATTTTCAGTCAAAAAAAAAATTTATTATGAAGGTTGAGCAATTTTAATATTTGGTAAATAACTCCTGCCATAGACACTCAAAACTGGGATGGCAATTCTAGTCACATTTATGTTTTGTTTCACAATAATGTCACATTTTCCTTAAGGGGGGCGTTTTCCCCCACTCTACCCTATTCATAGAACTTGTTTTATAAACTATAGAGAACCAGAACGTTCCCTGCAGGTTATTTTTAGATTTTGTTTATGCTGAAATGTGCCATTTTTCATAAACCAAGTATATTTTGCAGATACAGTTTAGTAAACGTGGATTACATCAGTAAAATGATCTAATCATTTTACCAAAAAAAATGTATACCATGGAAACATAAATCATGCAAATAATTCGTAAAATCGCGCGTTCTGCACTTTTATAAGCACAAGTTCCCGTACGAACCGAATGGACAAATTATCTGCTCAACAGGAGGTTTATTAATTGTGCGTCGAGTTGTGCGAAGCAGGTTATGTTCAGACAGAGAGGTGTGTCGGCTATACTTGCATGCCTTAAAAGTTACCTTTTTGAAACCGATAGTTGAGGTTATCCGCTTTAATACTTAGCCTTAAACATACCCAGTTAGGCCTATAACCTGCTTTCTGGAATACCCCCCAGTTCATATATGTTACGTTACTGTTTACTAACTTTGTAGCCATACTGGGTCATGTGAGTTCAACTTCCTGGTCCAAAGCACCAGTTGATGCTAATAGCTTTTACACAAAACGTCATGAGAGCACTGTTTATTGCAGCCAGACTAAACTGAAGAAATATAATGCGTCGGATCGATTGATTGAAGATTCAATTTTATTGCAATAGCCTACAGATAAACTTCTATGCGCAGAGTCACAATGTGGCTGTTTACGTTTTTTGTAGCAAACTCTTTCATGAATAGTTAGCCTGCATATGGTATGTAGCCTAAATTATTTAGGTTAAATATGTGCAGGTCTGCAGGACATAAGACGCGCTTACATCGATTAAAAAAAAAGATAAACTATGCATTACCTGATTATTGCTTGGCTGTCCTCAATTAACAGCCAAATTAAAAACGCGAAAAGGTGAAAGCGATTCATTCTCTGATCTTTAAAAGAAACAAATAACTTTAGATCTGAAACGAATTCAATAGTGAAGTACGCTTTCCACCGCCGCCCCTAGTGCGCAACTTATATATCCGCAAGTAGCCTATACCTTTCGGAGAGCTTCGTGCAAGTTCGGGGGGTTCCGTTCTCCTTAAGCCTGATTGGCTAGCAGCATTCATGTAACACTACTATTGGGTAAAATAACAAATCAATCAAGTTCAATTTCACACACCCGCGACCACTTCCTCAACCGACTGCCTGCTGAAATGTGGTGTAACTGGTTTACAATGACATATTTTAAACTTGCCTTGTTCGAAAGCAATATATAGGCTACCAAATGAGCAACCATGACAAATTTAATTTTTTTCATTTCAGACAAACTTTTCATCTTTGATTCCAATCCAAGTATATAATGTAGCCTAAATAATGACTCTTTCGTCGTTTAGCAGAAATTACTGCAATAACCAAAGGAGGAAGTGGAGTAGCCTAACCAACAAAACCTAAACCCAGATAGATGGTGTTCCCCTATTAATTGTACAAATGATATCTATTGACGCTACATTACAAATAAACTCTTTTTCTTTCTTTTTTTTCTTTTAAAGGCTTGACTTAAGGACCCTGCTGGTAGATGACATAACTAGGCGTATAGACATTTTACGGGCAACAACAATTTCTTCAGTCGTTCAAAAGTAGGCTATCCATTTTTATGGAAAAGCCTACTTGTAGGGTAGACTGGGTACAGTTGAGACACTTTTTGCGTTTTGATTTTTCACACAAAAATAGATGCTGAAAAGACGTGAATTTCCACATGATATGCCACATGACATTTCATGAGCTTGTAGACTAAGATATTATCAATCAATATTACTCATAGTTTATATTTTCCACAATTAGCTCATAAAAATAAGGTGCTTTTTGTCTCAACTTTGTCTCAACTGTACCCATATGTGGTACAGTTGAGACAGTACCATGGTACAGTTGAGACCCCCATTTTTATTGATGTAAAGGTAACTAATCGTTCATTGAAAATATAATAAATAAAGACAAATAAAAAAAATAACAATTGGGCAACATGTTTGTTTATTCATCCATTCAAATTCATTAATGTTATTTAAATTAGCACTGGTTAAATTTTATAAAACAGAAACAATATATTTTATATATTCATTAATAATACACAGTTTAATTATCACAAATGCCAAATTTTTATTTCATTTGCAGCTTATGCTGGCTAATTATGACATTTAACCTGTTATCATAACACTGAACAACTAAACAGTGTGTTTCCTAATAGAACTCTATCGCGGGTACAGTTAAGACAGTGTGTCTCAACTGTACCCTGATGGCCACCTCGCGCATTTCTCTAGATTTTGCAATGACCATGCCTGAAACAATCCCATGAAATATGCCCGTTTTTAGGGCACAGAATAACGTTTGTGATTATACCAGTTACGTTTAACAGTCACAAAAGGATAATAAGCTATTCATTGTGGAGTGTGCATGGTGAAGTGAACGTCTTACCTTAAAAAAAAAACTTTTGCCGATATCTTCGGAGCGGAGATGCGTCCATTGATCAAATTTCCCACGATCAAAGAGGACACTAATACGCATGTGCACAGCAAAAATCACAACTTGTGCTGGCTGCGCACGCAAGTTATTTAAGGTGTCTCAACTGTACCTATGTCTCAACTGTAGGCTACCCAGTCTACCCATTTTCTCTTTTACTTCCTTTTTTATAGAGAGTTTTTAAAAGTGATGGGTGCAGAATATATGAATGCCGTAATACAGTTAGGCTAATTGGTCAACAATTTTACTGTAAAATTTATATTTTCGAGTAGCCTATATGTTTTGGAATTTGCGGTCACCTAAAATAATTATGAAGACATGAAAAAAGGTGCATAATAAGTAGGCTATGCTTATATTATTTAGTCAATCGTTCAATAGATGATCATTCATTAGCCTACGTTTTGACAACACGCTGTCCCCCCAATCTGACGTCTGCGTTCCTCCGACGCGCCTCCTCTTCTGTCCTCTCTCTCTCTCGCGCTCATCCCACTGAACCCAGCGCGCGGTATATCTATCTATCTATCTATCTATCTATCTATCTATCTATCTATCTATCTATCTATCTATCTATCTATCTATCTATCTATCTATCTATCTATCTATCTATCTATCTATCTATCTATCTATCTATCTATCTATCTATCTATCTATCTATCTATCTATCTATCTACAGTAGGCTATATGATGCAGGTTTTGCGTCGTGTTTAGTTGTAAGTTCAAAAACCTGTAATGGAAGTTAACACAATAAATTATTTCCTCATCACTGTCAAGTTTAGAACGGCTTGAGTTTGAAGGTAAACAGCTAACTGATCCCATAACTTTTACCATCTGGGATTGTATATAACTCGAAAGGATTTAGGAAAAATCCCTAAGCAAGTGTTTTATCTGAGGTGAGTTTTTTCCCATTTATCTTTACATCTTTGAATTAATCATTTACAAATTAATATCAGTCCAATTAAAATTTATTCCATCATGATCAAGACATAGCCTAAATGTCTATAGGCTACCATTGTTAAAGGTTTGCATTCGGTATGAATTGGCATGTAAGATTTAAAAAAATGGAAATGAGTAAAACAGTTCTTTGTCTTTCTCCATCTCCATTCATTCACTGAAGGTTGGAGCCACTGTGAAATGTGGTACCACTGTGTTAATTTGAACAGGGCAGAATGGGATCAGAGGTCAAAATGCAAGAATTTATCGATGTTGCTTAAAACATTTTTTTTGTGTTTTGGTTGAAATAAGAATAAAACCTGGAAAATAATTGAAAGGACTGTAACACTGTTTGTTCTCATGTTTATTTCGTTGATCACTACCATTTAAATGTTTGGGGTCAGTATTTTTTTCTTAAAATAATAAATGAATACTTTTCAAAGATGCATTAAATTGTGGCAGTACAGATTTTTAAAAATTGTTTAAAAAAAAATATTTCAAATAAATGCTGTTCTTTTGAACTTTCTATTCATCAAAGTGTCCTGAAAAAAAAGGATAACGGTTTCCATAAAAATATGAACTGTTTTCAACATTGATAATAATAAGAAATGTTTCTTGAGGAAATATTAGAATGATTTCTGAAGGATCATGTGACTGAAGACTGGAGTAATGATGCTGAAAATCAGCTTTGATCACAGGAATAAATTACATTTATTACAACATATTCAAATAGAAAACAGTGATTTTTAAATTGTAGGACAATTACAGTTCTCAATGAAGACCAGGAGTCAAAGCTGAAGTTTAATCAGTTGACAGAGAGTTTACTGAAGACAAAGTTCTCCACTCTTCCAAAGGCCGTTGAAAATGAGTTAGAGGATCCAGCCTGAAACTTAAGAGCATGGTAAACATGGTATTCTGTTCTTTACGCAACTGAGACACACTTTGTCCTTTATAAGAAACTTTGGTAAGAGTCACAGATGAGTCATAAATTCTGGAAGGACTCTTCTCATCTGGATTGGCATGGTAATATGCGTCTAAAATAATAAACACGTCCTGCAAACACAAGATAAAACGGGCATGAGTTTTGTCAAGTCTTCTCTGGAACATAACATGAAAATTCCATCCACACAGAGGATTGTGTAACGAAGCAGGCAGGAATGAAGCGGAGAGATTAATCCAATTGCAAGCACATTTAATAATAAAACAAACAAAAGAAACTCAGACTAGGAACACAGAAAAAAGCAACCATTACAACATTAAGAACTCACAAGGACTGAACTAAAACACAGGGCTTAAATACAGAGGACCGGGTGAGTGAAACAAGACACAGCTGGGCAATTAACTAAGAACACAGGTGGAAAACATGAACACAAACGAGGAGCGGGAAAACTAGAAAGGACTAAACCAAATACACAATAATGGGGGGAACACAAGACAGACAGGAACAAGACATGAACCCACATCGTGACATAGCCCCCCCCCTATGGGCGGCTCCCGACGCCCATCAAAACAAATAAAATAGTTGAGGAGGGTGGTGACGCGGAGGTGGTCCCGGGGGAGGGATGGAGGGCCAGGCCCGCACAGGGGAACGGGACCAGGACATAGTCATGGTGGACCTAGGCCATGGAGCGTCGGCAGACCAGGCTGTGCAGGCGACCAGGGTGGAGCAGGCAGTTCAGGCGGCCACGGTGGAGAAGACCCTTCGGGCGGCCAGGGCGGTGAAGACCCTCCGGGCGGCCACGGTGGAGAAGACCCTTCGGGCGGCCAGGGCGGTGAAGACCCTCCGGGCGGCCACGGTGGAGAAGACCCTTCGGGCGGCCAGGGCGGTGAAGACCCTTCGGGCGGCCAGGGCGGTGAAGACCCTTCGGGCGGCCAGGGCGGTGAAGACCCTTCGGGCGGCCAGGGCGGTGAAGACCCTTCGGGCGGCCACGGCGGTGAAGACCCCTCGGGCGGCCACGGCGGTGAAGACCCCTCGGGCGGCCACGGTGGAGAAGACCCCTCGGGCGGCCACGGCGGTGAAGACCCTTCGGGCGGCCACGGCGGTGAAGACCCCTCGGGCGGCCACGGCGGTGAAGACCCTTCGGGCGGCCACGGCGGAGTAGACCCTTCGGGCGGCCATGGCGGTGCGGCCTTCACGGTCCCATCCAGGGTCCTACTGCACCCCCCCAAAATTTTCTTAGGGGCAGCCATGGGGTCATCAACAGGAACAGACACCGGCGCAGGATCAGCGGGCTCTGGCGCAGGATCAGCGGGCTCTGGCGCAGGATCAGCGGGCTCTGGCGCAGGATCAGCGGGCTCTGGCGCAGGATCAGCGGGCTCTGGCGCAGGATCAGCGGGCTCTGGCGCAGGATCAGCGGGCTCTGGCGCAGGATCAGCGGGCTCTGGCGCAGGATCAGCGGGCTCTGGCGCAGGATCAGCGGGCTCTGGCGCAGGATCAGCGGGCTCTGGCGCAGGATCAGCGGGCTCTGGCGCAGGATCAGCGGGCTCTGGCGCAGGATCAGCGGGCTCTGGCGCAGGATCAGCGGGCTCTGGCGCAGGATCAGCGGGCTCTGGCGCAGGATCAGCGGGCTCTGGCGCAGGATC